AGAAGGCCGAAGAGGTTCCAAGAAGCATTGTTTTCCCATCGACTGTTGACGGATTTTGGAGTTCCCAGCCTTTTGGCATCCCGTCGCTCCAAGACGGCCCAAGTGGCCCCCACGGCCGCTCTAAGATAGCCAAAGAGGCCTCCAAGAGGGCCCCAAGACGGCCCACGAGGGCCCCAAGATGGTGCCCGAGGCGCCCAAGACGGCCCGAGAGGGCCCCAAGAGGGCCCCAAGAGAGCCCCAAGAAGGGAAACGCGAACCCGACAGCAGAACTTTCCGCCTTAAGAGGCCCGAGGCCCCAAGAGTCCCCAAGTGGTCCGACGAGGCCCCGCAAAGCCCCCTACCAGGCCCCAAAAGGCTCACAGGAGACATACACGGGGCCCCAATTGGATAGCCCAACAGTGCTCTCGATGCATCACAATTGCCTCAATGAGGCCCCGGGATGCTTCCGGATTGCCCCACTGTGGCCTCAAGCCGGGCCTCCACGCAGCCAAGACGGCCAATTGATTGCAGAACATCACTTTCCGACTGCCCGGAGAACCCTGACGATGCCCCCAAGGGACTCCAAGAAGCCCCAAGATGCCCCCCCCCCGAGAAGCACCCAAGAGGTGTTTCCAACAGCCAGTTGAGGAAGCACGGAAAACCCCCCGGACGCCCTTCAGATGCCCCCGCGAAGTCCCAAGAGGTTCCCAAGAGGCCCTCAGGAGGCACGACTATGTCACGCGCCTGTGCTTGATAGCGCTGTCCAAGATCTTCTAGCGCGCCCCCAGCCTGAGCTAGAACTTGAGCGCGCGCGAAGCGCGCGCGATGGTTCTAGTATGTATATATATATATATATGTATATACATATATATATATATATATATATATATGTATTATCAGAGTGAGGTAGTCGAGTGGTCATTCGTTGTCCTTGGGTGCGTGGCTGAAGTGGGGATCCGTGGAGGGGATTATGCTTGTTGTTGTTGTTGTTGTTGCTGTTGCTGTTGCTGTTGCTGTTGCTGTTGCTGTTGCTGTTGCTGTTGCTGTTGCTGTTGCTGTTGCTGTTGCTGTTGCTGTTGCTGTTGCTGTTGCTGTTGTTGCTGTTGCTGTTGCTGTTGCTGTTGCTGTTGCTGTTGCTGTGCTGTTGCTGTTGCTGTTGCTGTTGCTGTTGCTGTTGCTGTTGCTGTTGCTGTTGCTGTTGCTGTTGCTGTTGCTGTTGCTGTTGCTGTTGCTGTTGTTGTTGTCTCGTTGTCTCGTTGTCGTTGTCGTGTCGTTGTCGTTGTCGTTGTGTTGTTGTTGTTTTGTTGTCGTTTCGTCGTTGTCGTTGTCGTTGTCGTGTCGTTGTTGTTGTTGTGTTGTTGTTTGTTGTTTGTGTTGTTGGTGTTGTTGTTGTTGTTGTTGTTGTTGGTGTTGGTGTTGTTGTTGTTGTGTTGTTGTTGTTGTTGTGTTGTGCTGCTGCTGCTGCTGCTGTTGTTGTTGTTGTTGTTGTTGTTGAACATTATTTATTCTAAAGAATAATTATTGTTGGGCCCCCTGGTGCGCGCCCCCCCTGCGCCGCCTAGGCCGCAGCTACATTTTCATCATTTTCGTGAGGAAGCCTCAGAAAAGAGGGTGTGTACAGGATCCGGTTGTTTTGTTGTAATCCGCTTTCCCTTGCAAAAAACAATAGAAAATGACATTTCTTGTTCTAATATAATCAAATTTCAAGAATCCCTTGCAAAAAATAAGGTAAAGTGGACATTCGCGCGCGCAAGACGAAATCCTTCCAAAACCTTAGTGTTCGCAGCGATTTTAACATAAAAACATCAAAAAACCAATGGTTTTTCAACAAAAAATTGTCAAAATCTCATCCCGCGCGCTCTTGCGGATTCGTAGGAAACCCAACACTTTTTAAACATTTCTGTCAAACGGGCTTTTGCGAGCAACTTTTTCGAACTTCTGCGACAACGGTTGCGCACCTGCCAGGGCCATCATCCCTGTCAAATAATACCATGCGGGACACATTCGTTTTTTCTTCGCGCGCGCACGCCGAAATCTCCAAAAACCATTGGGCTTCTTAAGAATTTTAGCACCGCGCATCATAAAATCACACGAATCGCACCGTAGGTCCTCGAAAAACACCTGCACGACTTTTCAAAATTTCTACCCGCGCGCGCTGTCCGAATCCTAAAAAAACCAATGGTTTTCCAACATTTATGTTACATGAGCTCGCGCGAGCTACTTTCGCACGCTCTTGCAACGGGGTTCGCGCGCCTGCCAGGGGCCACAATCCCTTGCGGTTGCGCCATAGGTTGCGCCCTCGGCCGCCGAGAATAAAACGTCCCCCTATTGGTTGCGCCATAGGTTGCGCCCTCGGCCGCCGAGAATAAAACGTCCCCCTACTGGTTGCGCCATAGGTTGCCCCAGGAGGCCTTCAAGAGGCCCCAAGAGCCCGCCGTGAGGACCCAAATAAGCCCCCAAGAGGCCCCAAGATGCTTCCAAGATCCTCCTTGCCCTAAAGATGTGATCAACTATCTTGTGAGTACGTATCATGTGTATCATGTGTATCATGTACCATATGCATCATATGCAACAGATGTTCTGTGGAAGGCTTCACAACTTCTGTGGGTTAACAAGGCTTAACAACTTCTGTGGGTGTACGAACGTAGGCTTAACAACTTCTGTGGGTGTGTACTCCACGCCAGTGTAGTAGCCACGGTCGTCCGCAGGCCACGAAGTGAAGTGTCCGAACGTCATAGGGCGGGAAGCTGGGTGTGGGTGGTGGCGAAGAGTCGTGTGGATATTTGGTAGAGCTTGCACTGCCCCCCCACAAAGTGGGGGTATTGGCTGGCGTCGCATGAAAACCCTGGCACTGGTGAGAACACTGAGCGTCCGGGTAAAGTGATTGTTGTTGTTGTTGTTGTTGTTGTTGTTGTTGTTGTTGTTGTTGTTGTTGTAGTCGTCGTCCCCCCCGCGACCCGGCCGCGACCCACCCCGCGACCCACCTTGCGACCCACCCTGCGACCCACCCCGCGACCCACCCCGCGACCCACCCCGCGACCCACCCCGCGACCCACCCCGCGACCCACCCCGTGACCCGCCCGCGACCCACCCGCGACCCACACCGCGACCCACCCCGCGACCCACCGCCACGCGACCCACCCAGCGACCCACCCGCGACCCACCCGCGACCCATTCGAGACCCACGCGTGACCCAACCGCGACCCGGCCCGCGACCCACCCGCGACCCAGCCCGCGATCCATCCACATTGCTTTAACCAAAAATGGCGCCTGTGGCGGGCTTCTGCATCATTTGTAAAAATTAGGCGCCTGTGGCGGGCTGCTTCACAGCCTCGCAGACTGACGACGTCCTCGCGGCCCCCCTCACTCTTATCCGCAACTGTGGGGTGCTACGTAGATATGTGTGTACGTCTGTATGTATAGCGCCCTGCAGTTGCCAGTAAGGTTGAGGGGGCGGGCGCGGGGCGGGTCGCGGGTGGGTTGCGGGTGGGTCGCGGGGTGGGTCGCGGGGCGGGTCGCGGGGTGGGTCACGGGGTGGGTCACGGGGTGGGTCGCTTGGTGGGTCTCAGGGTGGGTCACGGGGTTTGTCGCGGGTGTCGCGTGTAAAGGCGACAACAGCACGCAGTCAACAGCAACAACACAACAATAATCTGGGGCACGGAATCACACAACATGGATTCCGACAACGGAATCTCAATTCAGCACCCACCCAGGGACAATGAATGACCGTTCGGCCCCAGCATTTTACCAGAGATTCCAGCACGCTTTCGGACCGTCGTGTCAGCGAAGTTGGATTTGATCTCCTCATGTACACAGATGGCAGCGTGAAAGGTTTGCTGGAGTCAACATTCGGCGGCGGGCGAGGGGGGGAAGTGAGAAGGGGCGGGCCTTCTCAGAAGGCTCGGAATTCCCCCAGCCTTTGAGAAATGTTATAAGCCTTTTCCGACAATAGAACAGAAACTTGCCAGAAGGCCGCAGGCCTTCTGAGAAGTCCCGCCGCCTTCTGAGAAGGTCTTCTCCTTCTCACTCCCCCCCACGCTCGCCGCCAGAATATTCGAATTGAGGCTCTGAGTTTCGGTGCTATTACTATTTGGGGCACGGTTTTTGCGGAGATCGGGGACGCCAACCACGCAACGACGCTGATCTTAGCAAGGCCAGCCTGGGCCCATGAGGGGCCTGGCCAAGAGCTGTGTCGGCACAGTAGGTTCGCAACTTGTCGACCAGCAGCGACGCCGCCGCCGGCATTTAAACGTTGAACGCTGGCGCAGGCCCAGGATTGGTCGATGTTTCACGATCGGACGTTTGGGAAACAGCTGATCATTCCAGGTTGGTCGATCCCCGCGGTGTCGGGAGCCAACGTCGGGGTCGACACGACACGAACTTGTCGTACATCGTTGGCTTAGGTGAGGGGCGTGCCGTCCTCTTCACCCTCGAAGCTCTCCACCACATCCCGTTCTGCGGCATTTCTCAAGCTGGAGCGATTCTCAAGAGACCTCAAGCCCGAAACGCCGCAGAAGCGCCCGTCACGCTTTCGTTGTTCCCGACCCGGAAGATTGGGGTTGTTTGAATTTCAACCAGAAGCTCCCGACACGCCTCGCACACCCCGCATACCACGGCCGCCAGGCCCAAAGTTTGCCCGTGCTTCCTGGGGATCTCGCATGGCCTTCTCGGGTAAGGATCGTTCTCGGGTTTGGGCTGGTGTTTAACTGTTTTGGCCTTGTGGTGTGTGCACCGCGCTGATTTTTCCGGGTCCTCTCCGAAGCGCCAGCGTGCTCGCGCACGCCTGTCGCCCATATCTGGGTCGTCCTTTTGCGGCGATGACAGATCGTTCGTTCGTTCGTTCTGTGTTGATCCAGGAAGCGAAGATGAGAGGCAGAGCAGTCGAGGGCGGGAGGGCAACCTTTTGTCTGAAGTCGGGCATGCCCCTCCACAGGAGGAGCATCTCAAAACAGTCAAGAAACCGCCTGTAGGGGGACATGCCCGACCAACCTCTGTTTGCTCCGACACGCGCGCGGGCGAAGGCTCGGGCACAGCAGCATGTTGGACCTCCGCGCCGCCTGGCGCCTCGCGGGAGGCCCCCGCGCCTGCCCTCCTTAGGGCAGTGCCGACGGGAGTTCCAGAAGGGAGGCGAGCAGGCGCGGCCGCTTACGCTCCATTTCGAGGCGGTTCGATTCGCCGGCGTGGGGTAAGTCGGGCGTGTCCCTCTACAGGAGGAATGTTTTAAAACAAACTAAGAAAATAATCAGGGGACGATTGTTTTATTATTTTTGTTGGCTATTTTTGAATATGATTTGGGTATTCTTCATTGTTCGTAAAATCTGCCTGTAGGGGGACATGCCCGACCTAAGGATTGGGCTGCGATGCATATTCGAGTGGATTTGAAATCGATTCATCGGCATCGGCCAGGGCCAGACGGACCCTTGCGCGGTGATCGGTGTGATCCGTGACGATTTGTTGGCGATCCGATCCGTTTCCGATCCGAGTAGATTCGCGATTCGATCCAGCGCGGGCCTGGCAGGAGGGAGCAGGAGAAGAGGCTCACGGAGGAGGGAGGGTACCCCGGAAGGGTCTTGAATGTTAGCCGGGACTCCCCTTTTCAAGCTCTCGGTTGGCAATCAAGTTAGTTTCTCCCCTCCCCAGCCTTCCATCCTTCCCCCATGCTCGCTCTGATTCGACCTGCCCTTGCGCCCGTCGGTCTTCGCAGCTTCTCGACCCAAAGTCCGTCGCGGCCCCCTTCCGGCAGGCGCTTTCTGCTGGCGCTCGTCCAGGCGGCCATACAAGTTACGGGCGAGCTCATTTTTCGGGGCCCACGAGCCGCGCTTTACAAGCGGCTTGTAGGTCAACCGTTCCCTTCGCTCGCGGACCTCGGCGCTTCCACTGCGGGGACGTTGTGGTCCGTGCAGGACGATCCCAGCGGCGGTGGGCATTGCCCTCCCGCCGGCTAGGGCACGGCCTGCCCCACTGTTAGCTGCGGATTTGCGGTGGACCTGCGCAGTGGGGTCACTCCCTTGCTGCTCTCTTCGGATGTGGCCTTGCTTGGCGCCGCAGCCGTATGCAGCCTCTGCGGGGGCTGCTGCATTGGGGCCCTCGCGCCCCGCTGAGTGGGGCAAGCTAACTTTACCCGCGCGCGGGTCGCGATCAGAGCCCCCAGGGGGCACGGTCGCGGCGCGCAGCGCGTCATGGCCTACGGCCCCGAGGTGCGAACGGAGCAGCGCGCGCGAGCCTTGGCTCGAAGCCCGCTCTCGTCTGCGCCCCGGGGGCTTGTCCCCTCACGAGGCCTTGCGGCCCTCCCACGCGCTGCTTGCGATGGCGGCCGGTGCTCTTGCAGAGGGGGATCCTGCTATCCCCGAGGGCCTTGTTGTTGGCCCGACCTCCACCCGTTCAGCGCGCAGTCGGCCACCAGCCGACCGCTGGCGCGATCCCCTTGGCCAATCGGGCTGGGGGCATGCTGCTGGCATTGCTTGAGCCGTTCCGCTCGGCCGAGAGCCTCAGCCTTGCGGAAGCGGCAGGTTTTCCAGGGTCGGTGAGACCGTATTAGGTGGTCAGCCTGCCCTGCTCGGCGCGGCGACTCGCCCGCTGAGCTCCATCACGTCAGTGTTTGTGGTCGACCTGGAGGTCTCGGAGCTGGATCTCGAGGCCCTTCGCCCGATGTCCGAAGGGGCGGCGAGGGGCTTGCGCCAGCTGGGTCCGCCCGCGGTCGTGCCTGGTGGCCGCGCCCGGCGGGGGTCCATGCCCTTCGCGACGGTTGCCTTGCCATTCGCGGCGCTGCAGCCGCAGAGGTGGAGGCGGCCCCAGGTACAGAACGGACGCGCGCTGGTTGGTGGGAGACCCTAGCACTGGAGTGGAGCCACTGGAATATCCTCAGGCTACCCTTCGATGTCGAGTGGGTCGAGGATGCCTGCTTCACAGCGAATTCCCCGACGAAGGATGCGGAGCGCCAGCTCGCACGTCGCCGCCAAGCACCTCGCACGCATCATGTGCGACGGACCTGCTTGGCAGGCGATCCATCCGGATTTCCTCCTCCGTATCATTCAGCGGACGATTTCGGGGGAATGGTTTGGAGGAGGGCGCCGACGCCGACGGCCCCCTCTCCTCTGACGGCGCGGTCTCTTCCGCTTCTGGCAGTGCCGCCCGCGCTTGCGCGGAGCAGCCTGGGAGCCCAACCGAAGTCATGGGGCGCCGTGGCTCGGCCTCGGCCAGCGGGAGCCGTCGGCGCCGCTCTCGACGAGGGAACGCCGATAACCCGTGTCGACGTCCAGTTGGAGATCCGTCGCCTGCTGGCTGCACAATCGGCCCAGGCGGTGGCTCCTTCCGTGGGTAATCGAGCCGACCGCCGCGGAGCTCGACTCGAGGCGCCGCAGCTGTTCGACGACGAGGCGGCGCGAGTGGGGATCCTTCAGCACAGGCCGACATTCTGGCGATGCGCGCCCACTCCTCTACCCAGCACCGCAGCGGGCGCAGAGTCGCGCAGCCACGCCAGCGCTGGCCCTGGTGGCAGCCTGGGGGAACCTCGCCTTTCCACCGCAGGATGGAGAAGGGTCCCGCGAGACAAGCACCTCACGTGCCACTTTTGTTCTGGCGCTGCCGTTCTTGCGGGAATCAGGTCAGCGCTCGCATCCACCGCGGGCGGCAGCGCGTCCCTGTGCTGGGCACGCTCCGCAACCCTCTCGAGTCGACTGCGCCGCCAGCGGCAGGGGGGGACTGCCAGGCCCTCGACGCGCGGCATCGCGCGCCGCAGGGATTGCCAGGCCCTCGACGCGCGCCCTCGCGCGCGGCAGGTGCTGGTCCAACACGGGCCCAAAGGTTCGGGCGATTCTGCAGGCGAGCCTTGCCCGCGCACTGGAAGTGGAGCTCTTAGCAGCCACTCCCATGGCGATGTTCCAGTGTCTTCGCGAGCAGATCTCGCTGGGGGGCCGCCCAGCACCCCGCGAGATCCTGACGCATCTGGCGTGGCTCAGCGCGGAGCTGCGGCGCGTGTCCCAGAGCGGAGTCGCAGATTGGGTGGAGACTTTGCTGGCCTGCAATCGATGTTCATCGACCATTCGGGGGGGCCGCGGCTATCCAGAGGCCGCCTGGTTACCTCGCGGGGACGGGAGCCCCGCCGTTGCGGGTTGATCACTAGATATAATTTCGAGCGCCCCACAAAGTATCGAAACAGTGTTTTGCCACAAGATCGGCGACTTGTAGAGTTGTCGTCGCCCCCCAGGGCCCGACTCTGAACAAATTGTCCAGTTGTGTCGGCATTCGTATCGTTTCGTGTTGACACTCAGGATTGTCACATGCGCGGGAGGCACCCTCGATGCCCGTCGGAGCCCCTGCGGGATCCTGCGAGGTGCCAACGAAGCTCGTTCCGACGGCTTCGACGCCCCCAACCAAGCGGGACCTGGAGTGGCGCGCGCTTCTCTGGGCACTTGGTTTCCTTACTACTCGGCGCTGTCCGACCGCGGAACAGTTCAAATGAGGTGCCTGCTTCGAGTTGGTGAGTGTTTTTGTATGTTTTATTTAGCCGATCGGCGCGGGCCCTCGCACCCCCCCTCCTCCCCCCTATGGAGCAGATCTTGGCTGTTTTGGGCGCGTGTTTCGAGCAGGTGGGGTCTTTCCCAGAGGCAGCACTCTTGCAAACAGTCGCACTAAGCAGAGCCAGACCCCCCCCTCCTCCCCTTTTTCCTCCCAGCGTCGAAACGCCGAGTGAAAAAAACGCTCACCCGCTCGTCGCGGCAGGTGCGCCCCGAACCCTGGCCAGCCTCGCCCGCCGATCAGGAGCAGTATGGGCAGCTGGCTTCGATGTGTTTAAATATATTTCTCCTCCTTGTCCTCGTCATTCTCGTCTTCCTCGTCCACCTCCTCCTCCTATTCATCCTCTTCCTTCTCGCCATTCTCGCCGCCCTCGTTCGCCTCGTCGTCGTCGCCTTCCGCATTCTCCTTCAGGCGCCCCATCAGACTCCTTCCACCTAGTGATGCTGGCCACTGACACTGGCCTCATGCTCGTGAACCTGGGCCGCAGCACCATGGCGCCAAGGCGTTGCCGCCCTCCGCGCGCCCCCGCTGGCGCGGGATCCGGCACGGCGGCATGGGCGCAGCCACGTTCGGTTCGGCGGCGTGGGGGGCAGGGAGGGGGCGGGAGAGGCGCGCGGGCGGGAGAGGGTGGGCGGGGGGGATGGGGCGCATGGGGCGACTGCGGAGGTGGGCGGGCGCAGCCCCAAAGTTTGGGGGTCCGTCCCAAGCAGCAATGCCGGGAAGCCGTCGGGGTTCCCCCGGGCCGAGGGGGAAGGAGGAGGCAAGGTCCCCGCGAAGGGACGTTGATGTCCGCTGGTTTTCGAAGGGGTTCTCTGTTCTTTCCGTTGTTTTGCCATGGTTACTGCGCATTCAGGCGTCATTGAACTCGAAGAGAAGCTGCATTTCTGGTTAAGGTTACTTATGGCAAATCTTCGGCTGTTGGGGAAGGGCGCTCGAAGCTGTTAGTGATCAGAGAGGGCCATACGGTCATTCACTGTCTTTGGGCGCGTGGTTGAAGGGAGTTTCCGCGGTGCGGGTTGTTGTTGTTGTTGTTGTTGTTATGGTTGTTGTTGTTGTCGTCGTCGTCGTCGTCGTCGTCGTTGTTGTTGTTGTTGATGTTGTTGTTGTCGTCGTCGTCGTTGTCGTCGTCGTCGTCGTCATTGTTGTTGTTGTTGTTGTTGTTGTTGTTGTTGTTGTTGCTGCTGCTGCTGCTGCTGCTGCTGTTGTTGTTGTTGCTGTTGTTGCTGTTGTTGTTGCTGTTGTTGTTGAATATTATTACTTCTAAAGAATAATTATTGTTGGGCCCCCTGGTGCACGCCCCCCCCGCCGCGCCCGCCTAGGCCGCAGCCACATTTTCATCATTTTCGTGAGGAAGTCTCAGGCAAAACGATGTGATCCAGATCCGGTTGTTTTGTTCCCCCCCGCTTTCCCTTGCAAAAAACAATATAAAATGACATTTCTTGTTCTAACATAACCACATTTCAAGAATCCCTTGCAAAAAATAAGGTAAAGTGGACATTCGCGCGCGCAAGACGAAATCCTTCCAAAACCTTAGTTGTCGTAGCGATTTTAACATAAAAACATAAAAAAACAATGGTTAAACAACAAAAAAAACTTGTCAAAATTTCATCCCGCGCGCTCTTGCGGATTCGTAGGAAACCCAACATTTTTTAAACATTTCTGTCAAACGGGCTTTTGCGAGCAACTTTTTCGAACTTCTGCAACAACGGTTGCGCACCTGCCAGGGCCATCATCCCTGTCAAATAATACCATGCGGGACACATTCGTTTTTTCTTCGCGCGCGCACGCCGTCGTCGTCGGCCGCGGGGCCCTGAATAGTAGCCACGGTCGTCCGCATGCCACGAAGTGAAGTGTCCGAACGTCATAGGGCGGGAAGCTGGGTGTGGGTGGTGGCGAAGAGTCGTTTGGAAATTTGGTAGAGCTTGAACCGGCCCCCCCACAAAGTGGGGGTATTGCCCGCCTCCTATGAAAACCCTGGCACTGGTGAGAACGGAGTGTCCCCACGTGCTAGTAATTGTTGAACATTATTAATTCTAAAGAATAATTATTGTTGGGACCCCTGGTGCACGGCCCCCCTGCGCCGCCTAGGCCGCAGCTACATTTTCATCATTTTCGTGAGGAAGCCTCAGGTAATTCGATGTGATCAAGATCCGGTTGTTTTGTTCCCCCCCGCTTTCCCTTGCAAAAAACACTATAAAATGACATTTCTTGTTCTAATATAATCAAATTTCAAGAATCCCTTGCAAAAAATAAGGTAAAGTGGACATTCGCGCGCGCAAGACGAAATCCTTCCAAAAGCTTAGTGTTCGGAGCGATTTTAACATAAAAACATCAAAAAACCAATGGTTTTTCAACAAAAAAATGTCAAAATCTCATCCCGCGCGCTCTTGCGGATTCGTAGGAAACCCAACACTTTTTAAACATTTCTGTCAAACGGGCTTTTGCGAGCAACTTTTTCGAACTTCTGCGACAACGGTTGCGCACCTGCCAGGGCCATCATCCCTGTCAAATAATACCATGCGGGACACATTCGTTTTTTCTTCGCGCGCGCACGCCGAAATCTCCAAAAACCATTGGGTTCTTAAGAATTTTAGCACCGCGCATCATAAAATCACACGAATCGCACCGTAGGTCCTCGAAAAACACCTGCACGACTTTTCAAAATTTCTACCCGCGCGCGCTGTCCTAACAACTTCTGTGGGTGTGTACTCCACGCCAGTGTAGTAGCCACGGTCGTCCGCAGGCCACGAAGTGAAGTGTCCGAACGTCATAGGGCGGGAAGCTGGGTGTGGGTGGTGGCGAAGAGTCGTGTGGATATTTGGTAGAGCTTGCACTGCCCCCCCACAAAGTGGGGGTATTGGCTGGCGTCGCATGAAAACCCTGGCACTGGTGAGAACACTGAGCGTTCGGGTAAAGTGATTGTTGTTGTTGTTGTTGTTGGTGTTGTTGTTGTTGTTGGTGTTGGTGTTGGTGTTGGTGTTGGTGTTGGTGTTGTTACTGTCGTTTACGGACTCTCATTTCTGAAGAATAATTATGGTTGATCCCCCCACCAGTACACACTGATTGTTTTTTTCAATTACAGTGCCCATCCCGGCGCTCGCACCCGGTTTTTTTTTATCAGGGGAAGTCTTGAGACTCAAATTGAGCCCCTCGCCCCCAGATAACAGCAACAACGGCTCCTGCTTGAGACGCCCTCACAATTTAGCCAGGATCCCCGCTTCCGCCTGAGACTTCCTCGCATTTTATTCAATCGTTTCGCTCATTCCGCCGGCCCTGGAGCGCTATTTGGGGCCTCTTGGAGCCGTCTTGGGGGCTTCTTGGGGGCTTCTTGGGAGCGTCTTGGGGCTCCTTGGCGGCGTATTGGGCTCCCCTGGGGCCTCTTGGGGGGCTCTGGGGGCTCGTTGGAGCGGGAGGGGGGGTAGTCGTTGGCAGCCCCCCCTCGGAGGCCACGATCCTCGTGAGGGGTGGCGAAAAATAGCCTCCCCCCTGGGGATCGCCCGGGGATCAGCCGGGGATCGGCCAGGGTACTTTTCGTCCGGGGGCCCCCAGGGGCCGCCCCGCGCGCGCGAACTAGAAATATTGTTAAGTAGTTACCGGAGATCTTAGCACGCCTCTGGCCCGTTGGGCCGGCGAATTCAGGAATCACGCTCTCGCTTGGGACTTCATTACAATTGATTCCGGAATCGCTTTCTCGGCGCTCTGGAGTCGCGCTCTCGCTGGAGACGTGCTTGCAATTTACACAAGAATAGCGCCCTTGCGTTGGATTTCCCGCAATTTATTCAAGCCCCGCGCTCCCGACACTCAGGCGCTCAGGAGTCGCGCTCACGCCTATGATTCCCTCACACATTATTTTGGAATCGGGTGCAGCCCTTCTTTGCCCCCTCGCTGCCCTTCGTGGCCCCGTTGCAGCCCTTCGTGGCCCCCTCGCTGCCCTTCGTGGCCCCGTTGCAGCCCCTCATGGCCCCATCGCTGCCCTTCGTGGCCCCGTTGCAGCCCTTCGTGGCCTCCTCGCTGCCCTTCGTGGCCCCGTTGCAGCCCCTCGTGGCCCCATCGCTGCTCTTCGTGGCCCCATTGCAGCCCTTCGTGGCCCCTTTGCTGCCCGTCGTGGCCCCGTTGCAGCCCTTCGTGGCCCCTTTGCTGCCCGTCGTGGCCCCATGCAGCCCTTCGTGGCCCCCTCGCTGCCCTTCGTGGCCCCGTTGCAGCCCCTCGTGGCCCCATCGCTGCCCTTCGTGGCCCCATTGCAGCCCTTCGTGGCCCCCTCGCTGCCCTTCGTGGCCCCGTTGCAGCCCCTCGTGGCCCCATCGCTGCCCTTCGTGGCCCCATTGCAGCCCTTCGTGGCCCCCTCGCTGCCCTTCGTGGCCCCGTTGCAGCCCCTCGTGGCCCCATCGCTGCCCTTCGTGGCCCCATTGCAGCCCTTCGTGGCCCCTTTGCTGCCCGTCGTGGCCCCGTTGCAGCCCTCGTGGCCCCCTCGCTGCCCGTCGCGCCCTTTGTGGCCCCCTCGCTGTCCTACGGGGCCCCCGTTGCTGCCCTTAGTGGCCCCGTCGTTGCCTTCCGTGGCCCTATTATCTGCCCTTTATGGCCCCCGCTCGTTCGCGCTCTTCGTGGCCCCATACGCATTCCCTTCGTGTCCCCGCTGTCGCCCTTAGTGGCCTACTTCGTGCCTTTCGTGGCCCTGCTGTCTTTCTCTCTCTCGCTCTCGCTCGTCGTCGTCGTCGTCGTCGTCGTCGTCGTGGTCGGTCCCCTGTCCGTCCCCCTTGGGGTTCGGTTGCCGCCGATCAGCGCTGCCGCTGACCAGGCCGACGGTTCGCGGCCGCCCCGCCGCTTGCCGGGGCCCGGCCTGCAGGGAAGAAAGGTATACCCCCCAAAAGGGGTACGATCGAAGACGAAAATGGGAACTATACGTCAACGGACACTCGAGCAGATAAGAGCGAACAGTCTTAAACTGATTGTTGCTGTTGGGTTTTCACCATCAAAGAAGAAATTAATGATGACCCCTCCTCTGGTGACCATTGTATTGTAGAGGCCTCCGGCCGGTACCGCCGATCTGGGACCATCCCGCTGTCAGAAGGACGCTTTCGCCCCAGCGCGCTTGTTCAAACGTAAGTGGTTTGGAGACAGCTTGGAGGCATGGCGTGGGCTTCTTGAGGGGCCTCTACGACGTATCTTCGAGGCCTCCTGGAGGTGATTGTTGAGCCTCTTGGAGGCCGTTTGGGCTTCTTGGGGGGCATGCAAGAGGCATCCTGGAGGCCTCCTGGGGTTGTGCAGGAGGTAATTGTTAAGCCTTCGGGGGCACTTTTGGGCGCCTTTTGGGGGCCTCTTGAGGGCCACTCGGAGCCTCTCGGGGTTCCTGGTGACTCCTATGGCCATTTTGGTGCCTCCTGGGGGCCTCCTGGGGACCTCCTGGGCCGTTTTGGGGCCGTCATGGAGCCCTTTTGCGCGCTTCTAGGGCCCCTACTTGGGCCCGCTGGGCCTCCCGGGCCGTCTCGGGCCCTTTTGGGGCCG